TCCCGAGATCCAGAAAACTTGTTGCCAAAGAAACCCAAAACGCATCCTCAAACCCGAGTGCATGCTCTCGGCATCGCACTGTGGTAAGGTCGGCGTGCGCACGGCCAATAAACCAATCGTCGTCATGGGCGCCCGCCTGATCAGCACAATGAAAAAGTGGGCAATGTTTTTCGTTGTCTTTGAACCACGTCACATCATATCCTTTTTGGTAAAAAAATATACCCAAGCGGCGCATGCATTCTTACTATGTACTCTTTATGCAAAGTCCCGCATCAACATGCTACCCAGCTGGACTCTCTGTATATGCCACAGTAGTAGGAAGCAAGAAGCCTAAGAGTTGCAGAGACATTGGGAGATGCTGCTGGGGGAGGGGCGGTATGCAAGAAACAGCAGGGTTTAGGGGTAGGATGGGCTGAATTGCCCATGTTCTGCTAGCATGGTGCCAGTATGTGCCAGTCAATGGCAAAACAGAAGATGTCCTGACTAGGCAAGCATGTTACGAAACATCAGTCTGATCTAGAATAGCTTAGAGGGATATCAGCTCTAACCTTGTGATAACTTGAATATTTCGCTAAGATGTTCTAAGGGATTCGGGTGAAGGAAGGGCTGTTTGTTAAGGATGCGGATCCAGCTTAGGGCTCATGCGCACAGAGATGTTTGCAATAGGAGACCTAGGAATGGAAATAAGGCTTTCGGGCATTTGGGTAACTTGGGCCGTACAGGAATCATATTAAGACAGTCAAGTGGCTGGAGAAATTGGATGTTCGGTGCTTATCCTCTGAAAGATGGCTGCGAGAGGATTCTGACAGCAGGACTGGCATGGTGCTGCTACATGTACACAACCTGCAGGCAAATGCCCCGTGGGGGCACAAGGATAAGTCTCTGGGGCCTACCGGGTGTCATCGGCTATTTCGAAAACAAGGCCCTCAGCCCCAGCAAACCACCCACCAGTAGCAACGTACGGAGACGTCGCAGGTTCAAGCCGTCAGTTGGACTGGAGGTCATGGGCGCCATTCTATGCTCTCTAATTCCTGGAAGAAGATGCCTTAATGGCGCTATGATTTGCATCTACCAGCCATGCAAGGGTAAGACGCTTTGTAAAGAAGTATTGGCAACAGTATTGAGGTATTATTCGTTGTGTAGCAACTGTTCAACTGGTGCTGGGATCCATTAACTCAATAATTAACCTCACAGCCTTCAAACCCGTAACCCGCAGAACCACGTGTCATTCATTCTCCACTGGCAGGGCGAATTGGCAAGTGACAAGCACAACTGAGGAAACTTCTGAAGGTAGCATTCGCTGCTGGTGCCCTTTGAATAGAGACCACGGCCACCTTAGTCGCTTGTGAGCAGCAGTTACTGGGTTGCTGTTAAGGATCTTAACTTAAGCTTCCATAATATCAGTACCTAATGAGGCTTCATTATGGTAGTAACTTAATGTAAGCTCCTTAACAGCAACCCAGATTAGCAGCATTCTTTGCTCTGCTTTTCTAAAACCTGAGTATCGCAAACTTCTTAACCCTGAAATCGTACTTGCAAACCTGCAATGCCCCTCGCCACCTCGCCATCGTCCGCGCCAGAAGCGCCTGGAACATTGTGACTATCATTCCCATAGCTGATATTATTGGTCTTAGTATTACTATGTAACTACTATGACTACACTTGCTATTATTTCCAAAGCTCTTCGAGAGTTTCGGGTTGAAAGAGCAATGCACGTGGCAGAACCGGCGCCGGCTAGCGCATGCGGATCTTGCTGGGGCTACTACGGAAGAAGGGTGTATATATATATATGTATATATAGAGTTGTCATTTGTTCATTCATTCATCCATTCATTCATTCATTAATTCAACCATTCATCCAACATTCATTCATTCATTCATTCATTCATTCAGCACTGGGTTCTATTCCATTTCATCATTCACTCATTCAATCAATTATTCATTCAGTCAGTCATGAATTCCATTCCATCCCATTTGATTCCATCACTCATTCATTCTTTCATTCATTCATTCATTCGTTCGTTCGTTTGTTAGTTCATTAGATCATTCATTGATTAATTTAATCATTCTCTTTCAGTCATCTATTCGTTCATTTATTCTTTCATTTCATTTCATTCATGTCATTCATTTCATTCATGCATTCCATTCATTCATTCATTCATTCAGTCAGCCAGCCAGCCAGCCAGCCAGTCAGTCAATCCACCCATTCATTCATTCCTTCATTCATTCATTCATTCATTTCATTTCATTCATTCATTCATTCATTCATTCATTCAGTCAGTCAGTCATTCATCCAGTCGTTCCATCCATTCGTTGCATTTCATTCATTCACTCTTTCATTCATTCATTCTTTCATTCATTCTTTCATTCAGGAATTCACTCGTTCATTCATTCATTCATTCATTCATTCTTTCATTCATTCATTCATTCATTCATTCATTCCTTCATTCATTCATTTCATTCATTTCATTCATTTCATTCATTCAGTCATTCTTTCTTTCTTTCATTTCATTTCATGTCTTTCATTCATTCATTCATTCATTCATCCATTCATCCATTCATCCATTCATCCATTCATCCATTCATCCATTCATCCATTCATCCATTCATCAATTCATCCATTCATCCATTCATTCATTCATTCATTCATTCATTCATTCATTCATCCAGTCATTCCATCCATTCATTGCATGTCATGCATTCATTCACCCATTGCTTTCATTCACTCATTCATTCATTCATTCATTCGTTCGTTCGTTCGTTCATTCATTCATTCATTCACTCATTCATTCATTCATTCATTCATTCGTTCATTCATTCATTCATTCATTCGTTCATTGATTCACCCATTCATTGATTCACTCATTGGTTCATTCATTCATTTCATTTATCATTCATTCATTCCATTTCATTCCATGATTCATTCACTCACGCATTCATTCATTCATTCACTCCATTCATTGATCTCACTCAGGTAAGGGAGAATGATGGTTGTATCAGGGTTCTCTTATCAGGGTCCTGTTATATTCTTTTTATACCACTATTACAGGGTTGGGGTCCACGTAATGTATAAACATACATGCATACAATGCTTGTGCATTAGTTTCGCACCACTACCTGCTGCACCCTAGCAGATGGGCCAATCTCAAGACTCAAACCACGTGTAAAACGTTAGGCACGAGAAAGACCCAGAATTCGGAGAGGACCTAGCCACCAAGTCTGGAGCCCAGGGCCACATTACAGTGTGAGATAAGACACCTGATGTATGCACTAGGCGTCAACGATTTCCAGGAAATTGCGGCAGAAGTTTGAAGAGACCGACATACATCGAAGAAGACGCGAATGGCCCTTGCATAACAAGTCCTCCATAATCAAGTAAAATCTCAATCTGTCTAGCAACAAAAAAGAATCCTATTGCCCCTCATTATCTCATTCACCTCCGTAAACCGCGCAGATCGCCTTTGTCCGCTCCACTCTCAAAACGGACTCAACATGTTTGAAGAGGGGTCCCACTTCGAAGCGACAGCTCCAAAATCCCTGCCCGCAAGAAACTACATTCTGAGTCTTGCATCCGGGCTTGGCCATGAAACATAAGCCCAATCCAAAATCACGCAACTTTCATCAAGGGGCTGGTCACTGCACGGAAGAGACCCGACTTGGCGCTGTTGGCCACTCTCGAAAACCCGCTTCCACCCTTGGCTTAATGGTTATAAAATAGGGAAGCAAGGACTGGAAAGCAAACTGGAAACGACCATAATATCGGGGACTGTGGTCCATTGCGTCATTCCCTACTCGAAACCAATTAGTTGGGGGAGCAGTTTGCGGTGTGCAGCCTGGACATGATTTCGAAATGTTAAATGATGGGTCCACTTGTGGGCGGCTCCAAAAGGAAGATCCTAATGTTTCAGGGAGGTACGGAGGAGGAGCCGACTTTTGACTAGGCCACTTTGTTGAAGAAGCCTTCCAACATGCGTGCCTGGCTATGTGTAGCTTAAGAAACCTCCCAGTATTCACTTCGCTTGATACCAGAAATATAACATGACCTTAAATACCTCACACCTAATGAGAGCGTAATATACTGAGGGTGCAGGAATTTTAGTATCCACGGTAAGGGGTCAACTTCGCCCGGGACTAACTTAGCGGTAGCTGAGCCAAGCTGGAATCTAAAGCGAAGTCCCCTAAGCTGATGAATGGCAACACCACCGTCTCTGGATATGGCCGCACGCACTGATCAGGATTTCTTACTTCCAGGTTGCGAGCAATTGTAACCCAATCATAGCTGGTAACTGGTACGTATGACCCGATTACAACCATATCAGGGAACTTAGGGGGGCTTATAACTGGGAAATAAGTACCGCTAGAGTTGGGCTATAATGTGGTAAAACTACCGCACACCTCCCAGTTGGATTGGGCACAGAATTCCTGCAGAAACTAGTTCGTCAACCATCTGCGGCAACTCAAAATTTGCATCAGCAGCACATGTAGGGACATCTGGAGATCGAATCTGGCCAGCCCAAACCCTAAGCCAAAGCCTCACTCCTCACTAGGTTTCCAAGTAACCACTTGATAACAAGGGTACCCTTAATGTTAATGTTCAGCTTCAATAGGGTTTAGGGTTTAGACCCCGGAATATATTTAAAAAAAAGGAACAAAAGGTACTACTGGGAAACCTTGCCCTGGACCCTCGTTCTTTGGGGGGGTGGTACCTAACTTTCTGTCGAGGATCTTGTCTAGAATATCTTTAAGATGACCCTGCATCAAAAAATCGCATGGAAAACCCTGCAAAACCTGAGCCCTCAATCCTCCTTTCAGACCCAACTTCTTACCGGGGGCTTCGTAGAGAATGAGGGTATTTTATATAAGGATTATATAGGGATAATGGAAACTACCACATACAGCTATACATATATGCACATAACAGGGAATTTGCAGGGATGATATTGCCGCATTCCCTACTAGGAACTAGTAAGACTTCCGAAACCTTGTTGCCGGCCAGGCACCGTGACAGCGTAGACGCTGATCTGAAGCCGGGCAGCGTCGAACCCCTTCAGGCAAGGAAGCTGCATAGCTTAGCGCGGTTTGGGGTTGGGGACTTCAGAGTTTTTGGGGTTTAGGATTTCAGGAACTGCCTAACAGGGGGTGGATGTAAGACTGCATCGCAACATGACAGGCGCACATACACTCTTTAGGGCAGAAGTCGGAACTGTCAGAGGATAAGGGACCACAAAACGTTGTGCCGAGATGCCCCAATGGCTGGATGGAGTTTTATTGAAGTGTACGGGATTCTCCTCCCCCAATAATGGAGACTGGAGAATCACATGTAAAATGAAATAGAAACTAGTACATAGGTACAAGGGTAGGTTTGGGATGATATATAGGGATCACATGGCCAAGAGTAGTATCCACCATGCAAGGTACTGTGAACTCCTGCGACTGTAGATGCGTCCGCTTTGGTGGATGCTGCGATGTGGCCGGCGGGACAATTTATTTGTCAGTGGTCTTGGGCACTCTTCTCTCGACAAACTCGGAAGATTTACGACATTGAGATACTTTATGCAGGCCCTCGCTCAATCAGAGAAAACAGCTCGTGATGCGTTTCGCCCTCAACTGCATGTCGCCTCAGGGATCTCCGCATAGTACGCTTCATTCCACTGCGGGCAAATCATCTGCTTGATGACCTAGGGCTCAGGGTTTATCAAAAGTAGGATGTAGGTAGGGACGATCTTAAGAAGAAGTCCCATACGGCATATGTGGGGATTTCTGCAAAATATGGTCACCACCTTCTGGGAGTATGTAGATTTATGATGAGCCCTCATCCTTGGAAACGGGACAAATGTCATGGTTTCTGAGAAATTTTGAATCCAAGCTTCAGTTCGGGACTTTCCAGAAGGTGGGGGGGGGGGGGGGTTTTCAGGGAGCCTTAAATTTCTGGAAGCTTCTATCTGGAGACAATGTAATTGTCTGGGATCGACCTGGTGTCATGGTTTTTTAGCCGCTGGCACTGGATGAACCACCATGTACAGGGTTGCCAGTAGGGAACTTTTTGGAAAGTACTACGATAAGGACACCCTACTACTAACCATATACCCACAATATGGTAGCTTGATGCATTTTCCTCATCAGCAACCCAGTCTAGGTTGGCGTCTTTGAGCCGCCAAGCATCGTTGAGGTAGTGTAGGCATGCAGGCATACATACACGCGGTTTAAGGTTTAGGATTTAGGGTTATACACTACCATGACACGAAACACCCCTACCAAAAGTCAACTTTCAGGTGCCTATAATTGGAATACAGGGGACCCCCAAAAGGCTAAGGGCCTAAGGTCCTAGCTGAATGCCAAGGAGACACTTTGTTTCAAAAACCATGCTAAACAAGGGCAAAGAACTGGTCATGAATCAGGCTTCGACATTATCATTGATCCTCAGCCTTCAACCCGAAACCTAGGAGAGAAGGGGGAGTTCCCTATTCGGTGAGGCTGTCCTATGGGTCCCCAAGCCACCCTTCTGGGGCTCCCCCTCAAGGAAGGGAGTTTGGGGACCTTTAAGGCAAATCAAGGCCTTTTGGAGGAATGTGGGCCTAGTCTAAACCCTGAGCCCCTAACCCTCAATCGCACACCTTAAACTCCTGAGCCCTAAGCCTAAACCCTAAATCCCTAAACCTGTTCCCATTTTCTTTTCCATTATCCCTATATAACACCTATATTACCCTATATCACCCCTATAATCCCTCATGCAAAGACCATCATTGCAGGCCCAGGGGCCCGCGTACGGTGGATGAAGAGCTTCAGGCCAGTGGTAGAGATGACATGGACTACACCTTGAAGTAGGCTTTAGGGTTTGGGATTTAGGGTAGGTAATCTACTAAAACTTGGAAGAGCTAATCTCTATATGCCCTATATATCCCTATAAGGTTCCCATATACCCCATGGAAACCCCACGCCTTACAGTCTGTTCAGCTAGGATGAATTAGGATGCGCGCCTAGGTTGGCAGTTTCAGTAGGGTGGCCAGAGTTTCCGGAGGAACGCGGGAGCTCCAATATGGTGTGCCCGAAAGTGAACTCGAAGCTTGTTTGGGGGCTGGAAGCCAACTGTCAGGGTCAGGTGGGCCTAGTAAGCTTATAACCCCTATGAGCCCTATACTCTGAAGTTACTAAGCTCCAGAACCTCCAAGTAGATCTTAGATGGTGAGCCAAAATGGATCCCCTAAATCATTCACTGCTTCGATTCGACAATGTAGTACTGGGTCCCTGTTCCGCCGTTTAACCGCTGAGGGCTTAGGGAATCTGCGGATTTAGGGCTTAGGCTTAGGGAAGTTTAGGGTTTGGGAAGAGTATGAGGCTCAGACGGGTTTCTTGTATCCTGCAAGCTGCCTGGCAAACTATGCCCTTGGAGTTCCCACAACGGGGACTCTGCTTACAAGGAGTACATTGGTGGATGAGACAGGAAGGCCAAGGATACGCAAACAAATATCCACACAACAGTGGGGCCTTCTTACAGAGGTACACCCCCCTAAAACTCCACTTTGAATGCCCTCATCCGGGAAATTGCTCCTTTGATTGAGTCCAAAACTACCCTGGCACAAGCATCCGAGCTGCAGTACACCTCTGGCGGCCGCTGGTCAAAAGTGGGCAGCGACGTGGCGCCCTCAATGACCTCAGGTAGATCTGAGGTCGCCAGAGCTCGTAGTCAGTGTGTCTGGGGGGATCGTCTATGACGTGAATCGATGTGGGGAGTGGAACTTGTAAAGCGTGTCTTCGTGCGCGTGAGACGTAGACATGTACTACTATAACCGTGCGGGGAAGCCCACGGAGCTTCTGATTCAGAACCATCTCTGGATCTCTGGAGTACTCAAGAATCTCAGGGTTTAGTGTTTCGGCCTCTTGGGATACTGAAAGGGTAGATGGAGACAATCTGCTGCAAGTATGCCATACCAACACATAGGACGACAATACATCCACAGAGATTCCGAGGGGTCTCTGAAGACCGCTGGGAACGCAAATGAACGGAACGCGGCACAGGGGCGCTTGCCCTCACATGCAGGGTTTAAGTTTCCAGCCTCAAACGACAGGCTTCGGCAACAAGTTTTTTGAGGCAACAGCCGCACCCTTTACACTTCGCAGTAAAGACAAGGAATGGGAAAAATTATGCCAGAGGAGATTCCAGACCCAAAGCCTAAAACCCTAACACTCCAAAACTCTCAAACCCTAAAACCCGAAACCGCAAATCAGTTCAAAGCCCTAAATCCCGCACCCTAAGATGAGGCCCAACTACTCACTCCCCAAGCCCTGATCCCTGAGCCCCAAAATCCCCCACACCCTAGACTCTAATCCTTAGACCGGAATCCCTCAGCTGAATCCTTGAACCCTGCTGTAAGGAAATGTAGAACGAGCTCCAGGCTCCATAGACAAACGCAACATGGTCCTGGAGCTGCTTTTTGGTACTTTCTCTAATGTAAACCCATGAGTAATAAACCCCTTCCTTTTATGGACCTAAAAATTAGGATCCCTATTATAATCCCTATTAAGGGGAGGGCGTTTATTAATCATGGGTCTGGGTTAACTTGGGTGACCCCAGTATAGACCCCTAAAAGCTATAACCCACATTATAGGAACCTCCAAAAACTACCCCTAAACCCTAGGCTTCTAGGGTTCAGGGGCTTGGGGCTTCTCAGGGCTTTAGGGCTTGGGACTGAGGGTTTGGGGTTTACGATGGATGGTTTCTGGTCTGGAGCTTGCGGCTTAGGGCTTGAGGTGTAGGGTTTGAATCCGGGCCCGCTGCTATCCTCCAAAAGCACTTGTTTGTGCCTAGGTCTTGCTTTGTTATTAGGTGGCCTCTCCTGGGGAAACCCGATTTAGAACCATACTGGTTGCTGTCATGGCGTGGGGCTTCAGGATTCAGGCTTTCGCCACTCTGCCGGCCGAAAGTACAAAAGCAAAAGGCCAACACAGAAATGTGGCCTTCGTGGTAGGGCTGACGCTTACAGGGAGGACTGGCTGAAAAAGGGGGAAAGTTTCGTGCACAATCACCCTCTGGAGTTTGGATTTCCAGGTGCCCGGTCAGTTTGGGCCGAATGTTGTGCTGCGCTGACAGAAGGTAAAAATTACCATCGGGAAAGGCATTGCTGTCCGCTCAAGCTCCTACAGTCCTTCACTAACGTTCTATAACTACTTGAGCTCCTGTGCCTCGAAATCCCACTCAAAGCCTTAAATCCCAAACTGCCAAGGGTGAGCCTTACGTATATCCTCGAAGGTAGGTTTGGAGACTCTACAACTTTGCAATTGCAATTCCGTGAGATTTGGGTGACAGCTTCTCAAGCTTCTTGTTCATCATCCCTAAAACTGTAAACCCTCGAATTTAGGAGGCTCAGGGTGTAGGGTTTCACCTCAAACGCAGTAGTCCCCTAAAGAAATCCCTATAGACTCCCTGAAACCGGAACACATTTTGGAGGAATCCTCGTACAAACCGGTATAACAGTTCTACTGCAAAACCCTAAATCCTAAATCCCTAAACCCTGGACCCAAAATCCCGAAATCCCTCAATCCCACATACCTAAACCCCAACAACCACAAAAATCATCCTCGGGATGCTTGGTGCAGAGTAAGGACTGGTGGGTCTATGCTTTGGGGTTTGGTGTTTAGTGCTTAGGAAGGAAGAGCTCCCTCCAAGGGAACTGCGGTGTCGCTCGCAACCTGAAGGTTCTGAAGGCTGCTGGGTTGTTTCTTGGGTTCATTGGAAGAGGGCCCATCTGATTTTGGGCGTAGAAACCCAAAGCAATACAAAACCCGTGAGCAGTAGACTCGAAGGCTTCAACCCGGAGCCCTAAACCTATATAACCCTATTGAAATGGTTTCCATTTTTCCATTATCCCTAGATAATATAACCCCAATATAACCTTATATTACCCCAATAATGTTTCAACAAGAACCCAATTCGCATTTCAATGCCTCCGCAGTGACTGAGCCGCGCTCGACTCCTGCATACGGCGACTCAGCTCTTCATTCAAGGTCTATGTGGTAGATTCCCTAAGTAGGGGACCCTAAAATCGACCCCAAAAGACTATAATCCTTTTTATTGGGACCCCCAACAAGGGACCCCTAATTTTGCGACACCTCCATGTACCAGCTAGTCAGCTGATGAAACACGCAGGTCTTCTACCATGGTAGCTATAGACGTCACGGATGAAGAAGGACTGACTAGAGAATCCAAAGTGGTGATTGCTTGAGAGGCCTTCTGCAGGGGCTTGGGATTTGGGGATTCCGGAATCTACTGGCTGCAGGCGTTCCAGGGTTGTGCAGTGCGATATGCGGCGAGGACTTTGGGGATAAGACAATTCAGAGGTTCAGAGGTTCAGGCCTTAGCAAATCTTAGCAAGGTTGAAAAAAACTCGGTCTACCTGAAGGCTCATCGGTGCTCATGTGCTATCAGTCAGAGAGACGGTGATGTGGAATAATGCCTGTAGCGGGGACCAAGCCTCGCGGTGATGAACCAGCAAAAACCCTGAGCTAGAAGCCTGCAGGTGATCTCACATGGGAACGCATCTGAATCACAGCTCCCTTGTTTGGGTCAAGGCTCGATCCTGGTCTGCGGAGGACCTGGTGCTTAATCTAACACAGGTTGTCAATTGATGAATGTCTTCGGCGGTTGTACCAAGAAGGGTTCTTCTTACATATGCTATACCCAACAGGAAGGCCTACTCTTTGCGGAGGGATATAGCATCCGCGTTGAAAGTACTACTCAACTGTGCATCCTCTGCTCGCCAAAAGGAAATAGCTTAGAACCCCGAACCATTTGCAATCCAACTCAAAGACTTGGAGGGGTCTGCGTGGACAAGTGGCCTACGTCCTACGTGGCTGCAACGCAAAAGTTTGCAGAATCAGCGCGCGTGCTCATACTGTTTTTCGCCACCTGCAAGGCACGTCAGGAGCCGCAAGGCTTCATGTCGGATAATTGTGTGAGAGCTACAAGAAGCCGCCTCACGTGCCGTACTTGCCGGTACGGGAAGGCCTCATTTTGTACTTTGCGATGACACGAGTTTCGTACTCGCTACGCTGGTCCACGTTAGCTGGGTCGTAGTCGTCCTCGTTCCAATCCGGCATGTCTTGCTTCCTGGGGTGGCCGATTTTGACCAGCTTACTTTGGTGGGTTGAAGCTTCTAGGTTAAGTATGTGAACATTATCGACATACATAAACATGACATTCAAAACATCCGCCAGGGTTCCACACAGGAAGTGGATAGGTGTCCCACTCATTCTGCGGATACGTGGGGTCGGGGATCTCATCCTCACGGCCGTCAAGCCGGAGGTCAGAATACCTCTTGTCCATCTCTGTGCGCTCCTTCGATTGAAGTTGGCGGGGACGTAACAGGGGAGGTGGCTTTGTTAGGGCAAGGGGAGGGGGAATCTTAGGGAAGATCCGAAGAGAGAGGGCAACTGGAGAGGTCGCGTCCTTGTCGACGGGGATGATATTGCGCTTGCCGACCATGCCACGCAAAAAGTAGGCGTTCTTGTTGCGGCCGATGAAACCTCGCCGCATCACCTGGATCTAAGATGGCGCACAGCAGAGTGCTTTCGAGGTTTACGCTCCGAGGTCCAGTCTCTGGGACTTTTGATTCCTGGGACTTTTGATTCCGAGGCCATGCTGACCGCTGTCAAAGGAGTTCTGGCATGGATTCACAAGACGAAGCTCCTGGGTCCTGCCCCCACCCATTAAGAGTCTATAATTGGGGTCATATTAAGGGGGCTCTAAATATGTATTTTACATATTATCCAACTGTTAATCAGTGGGGCGGCAGTACCCAACCTCTCGTATGTTCCAAGCGTTGCATCCCGAACCCCTAGGCACTTGTCGGCCCGTTGCGTAAAGTTTTCGGCCCCAAGGGCTGTCCTTATGTGGGTAGTTCCCAAAATTGGGGTCCCATTTTGGTACCCCTAAATACTCAGCCCACATTACCCTAGGAAGAAAACAGGATCCATCTGCATAAATGTAAGGAATCCCGGATCCCTAAGATTGATCCAGAATATCAGGTGCCGTAATATACTCTATAACCAGCAGGAGCCCATAATTCTGGGAACAACCCATGTGTCCATACATGTACACATGCGCAAGTGTTAGGCATCAATGCTTGATCACCCCTCAGGCCCACGTCGTGCTTGGGTGTTTCGAAGTAGGACAATCTGCCTCCTGAAATATTGGAAGCCTAGCTACATATCGTTGCACTATGTCCTGAGCCCTTGTTAGGGATTCTGGCCTTTCGTATAGACAAAGCCCACAAAAACTTCATACAAACACATAAGTTGATTCGGATTTTTTCAACAAAGCCTACGGCCCCCCACCCCCTAAGACAAACATCCGGGGTTTAGGCTTTAGGGTTCCGCCTGGATGTCTGTGATCATCCTATATCTTATACCTATATAACCCTATATGGTAGTTTCCCAAAATAAGGGACCCCAGTATAGACCCCAAAACACTACAGTCCCCATTCTTGAAACCCCCAAAATGGTAATGGTACCTCTGGTTTTTTTTGAAACTAAGACCTCCATATAGCCCTTTCAGGGTGAAAGGGTCCCTAGACCCTGAACCCTAAACTGATCCCACCTGGATGCGAGTAATCAGCGGGGAGTGCATGGGGAACTGAAACTCGTAGCCCACCGAGGACAGGCCCTTTCCAATCATGGCGCGGACCGTCCTTGCTGGCTCTCCTCCCCTTCAGAAAAAATGGGTTCTCCATTGGGGCTATAGCGGTGATTTACGGGAGAATAAGGTTTAGGGTTTAGGGATACTATCCTATAATGGAGAATCAAATGGAAAAGAAAACGAAAAAGGGCATGGAAAAACAGGACGAGATAGGGATTTAGTGCTTTTTTATGGGCTAGGTGGGCAGTACGAGGGATTGGTACTGTCTACACTAGTAGTTGTCAGAGACTGAGGGATCCTAGTCGGTTAAAACTTGGGTTTCCGCTACATAGTTTGCACTGGGTTTTGCTTTCTAGGCCCCGCGAAGATCTTTGCCAAGGGCCTCTGAAAACAAAAAGGACATTCAGACCCATGGTACGGCTTTTAATTAAGCCTGAAAGAATGAAAGCCTAAACCCTAAAGGCTTGATTTGCATGCTACATCATAAGTATGCAAGGGCAATGAGGTCATATGCGTCATTCTCGTGCCTAGATGATTTTGAATAAAGCGGAAGGAGCTCAGGATACATTCTGAAGTAGAGTTTGTCAGCGGTCGGGGGTTGCGAGATTACCTCGGGCTTCAGGTTGCCTTGAATTTTAGGGTGTGCCAAGTCACTACCGGAAAACACCCAACCATTCGTTCTTACCTTCTAGGGCGCAACTTGTCCCTCCCACCGAGGCCCTAAACCCTTAACCTATCAGAAAACGGAAGGATCCAAACAGTGGTCCCTACACACTCCCTCATAAAAGTCCCGTACTTCTTGGAATACTCCCTATGCAAACCCTTATATAGGATTTAGGGTTTAAGGTGCTTTCTATGCACCTCATATTCCTTTCTTCCCTTGCCAGCAGTGAGTGCAAGCAAAGCTTTCCAATCAAGCCCGGCATCATGGTGCGTGCATGATAGTCCTGAGCTGGTCAGTTGACATCGTCAAAGCTTCGGGCTTAGGATTTCACTTATGGAAACTCCCAAGCGCCTCTTCAGCTCTAACAGCCCGAGTAAACAACAAATGTGAGATCCTGTACCTACAGCTCTTTCAAGATGATGTTCGAAAGTATGGCCCTTTCAAACCATGGGAAAGCCTAAACCGCCGCTTAATCAAAATAGGCGTCCCTCCTGTTGAAACTGCCTTTTTGATCTGCGAACACCAGAACTGGGAACCCCTGAGCGCATGCCTCTCCAGCATATCGTACTCTGACAACAAGGAACCTCAATATGACACCGACTTGCCTGTTTCAAAATCAGACCTTGCCCCTACAACACCCTTGCACAAATCTGCAGTCTCTGAATTCACCGCGTCACCATTCCATAATCCCTGTGAACCTACCAGGAGACGTCAGGTGCACTTGAGGATCAATCCTATACATCCCCCACTAGGTGACACACATACACCTGACCTGTCTTGGTATCAATGCGTCCAGCAGACGCCCCGAAAGTTGATGATGGTCCCGTCAAAGTAGGTCTCTCGCAGCTGATCCTTTACGCTGCTTTTTGGAGGAGGCTATATAATGTTCTGCAAGTTATATTGGGATATCTAGACCTATGTCTTGTGCCTAAAGCTTCCGCGGGATCAGGGCTTACGGACCTGAAACAAGATTCTGGGGGCCATTCAGAAAGGGTTTGGTTGCATTCTGTATTCTACAAGGATATGCAGGAAGGGAGGATTATCTTGGTAATTACGCATGCTCTTACATCGGGCAACCGAAGAACATTCCGCTTTTGGCGCTCAGGAAGAATGCTTTCAAGGAGGGCCTCTCTCCTAGAAATCTAAACCTCGAAGCCGGCCAAATTTTGGAGTCAAGACTGTAGTTTAACCTTTCGATTTTTTGTTGGAATTCAAGATCCTAACAGTAGACAGCTACCCACTGCCTGGGTCGCCAAAGGCATGAGAGTCCTAGACGGGTCATGAGAGTCCTAGACGGGTCCTGCCCCCATCCTCTAATCGGCTGTATATATATATATATACATATATATCTATCTATCTATCTATCTATCTTATAATCTTAGGGAAATTATCATTTTGTTACAGCGTTGGGGCAGTACCCAACCTTGGGCTTCAGAATCTGGAATTCCAAAGTTTAGCGGTTTCTGTTGGGATATTCCAGAAGGCCAAACACCTAAGACTGGGACGCTGTTCTAGTCATATGATGGCCATAACAAAACCGCCCTTAATATCAAAAAGTATGTGCCGCCCTGTTGTGGTCCACATCTTAGAAGCGTTGACGCATTCAGAATGTACCAAGACATTTCCTCCATTCTGAGATCAACCCTTTCTCATATAGGAAAGTATTGATTTGAGGCCCACACCGATATTGCTAAAGAACTCCGGGCGGCCCCTGGACCATATTCCGAAGCCAGCACTCATCACAACCATGATGAAAAATGCAACTCCAGCGGCCCGGGATACCAAATTTGAATTATGATTTTAGGTAAACAGGGAGAACAAAAACTGAACGTCGATGAGTCGATGTCAGGATTCCCCACACACCACAGTATGCGCCAAAGCGTAGCGTGCAGGATTATGATTACTTCAAAACATTTGATAACAAGAGATGCAACTCATCAGATGATCATCGCAACCATGATTGGGGGATACTTATAACCCTGCTCATAATTACCCAAGAAACTCCAGGATACTCCAGGTAAACCCTAAACAACAAAAACCCAACACCTCTCCACGCTGCCTATGTCAACTTCCAAGTACAGCCTAAACCCGGACCCCAAATCGTACACTTCAACCCCTACATACTCCCCACATAATCCCCATGTAGCCCTAACCCTAAACCCACTTCCTAAACCCGAAGCCCTGTCGACAATGCCTTGGAGAGCTTAAGGCCCCGGACCTGGCAGACATCTCACCAAATTAGAAGAATTGGTTTAGGATTTAGGGTTACGGGTTTAGGGGCAAGGGTTTAGGGTTTTGGGCTTAGGGTTAAGGGTTTACGGTTTAGGGATTTGAGTTCAGGCTTAAGGGTTTAGGGGATATTTCCCGAGCAGCTGCCCTAAATGGTACCCCTAATTTGGGGAAACCACCAAAAAGGAGTTTGGGGCTCAGCGCTTAGGGCGTCTCAAAGAGGCCCCTGAGGGACCCTTTGAGGTTTGTCCGGCTGATTTATGGCACTTCCATGAAATAAGACGAATGGGGATAATGATTACTAGTAGTAATAGTAACCCTGTTAATAACAAGAATATTCATTACAACAGATCTAATAATCCCAAACAATAATGATGACAACATTAGTACTAAGACGAATATGTTCTACATAAACCACCATTTGAGGCGAGGTCCGGTGAGGCCGCTATAACTTGGCCACTGGCTCTGATGGGCCTTTAGAACTTATATGAGTTTCAAATTAATAGTTCAGGGTTTAGGTCTAATGACTCAGGGCTCAAGATAAGGAGTTTCGGATTTGGGCCTGACGGTTCGGGGCTTAGGGTTCAGGATGTCAGGGTTTATATTTAGGGTTCTTAGAGCGCTGGCCTGCCGAAGCCAAAACTCATGAAATCCGAACAAATGGAGGCTGTAGGCTCAAGGGTTGACCTCAGACAAGGGGATTTGGGCTTGGGGTTTCCGGTTTCTTTGAGGGGTTTCAGGACCCTATGGCTCCCTGTGTGAACTTTTAAAATGTCTTGGGACAACCCAGATATGTAGAACCCTAAACCCTGAACCCTCAACCCCAACCCCCTCAACCCTAAACTCTCAACCCTAAGCCCCCAAACCAATACCCTCAAACCTAAACCCTAAGGCCCTAAGCCCCCAACCCTATACATCCCCCAGAAGCCCTGACAAATTCCTTCCGAATCAACTGGGAGGCTAGCCTCCTTGTCTCCAGAGCCTGGCTTGGCCTTCAGGGCTGATGACACGGTTTTTCAGGGCGTTTTGGAGGATTTAGAGCTTTAAGGGTGTTTAGGGCATAGGGAATACAGGGTTTATGGTGTTTGGGGTTCGGGACGCTTAGGATTTCGGGGGCTTTGAAGGGTTCACAGTTCAGGGTGTCCAGAGTTTGGGTTCCGGGCGCTTTTTGTTTATCGGACCTTTTTCTCCACCATCCAAGCAGCGGGTTGTAGGGTATCAAAGGTTACGGACCTTCAGGGTTGTGACGCCATTTAGAGTCTGTTTCTTTTTTGGGTTTCGGGCGTTCAAAAGGTTAAGGGCTTAGGGTCTTTTGGGTTTTGGGCTTTGAAAAGGTTCAAGGTAGGATTTTAAAGGGACTCAAGGGTTCAGGGCCTTTAGGGTTCAGGGTGCCCTGTATTCTTCAGGGCTTAAGGCTTAGGCGGATTAACCTTTTGAGGTTGAACCTAGACCAATCGTCCCCAAACCTACCTGTATGAAGTATCAACAATCATGCCTAAATCACGGTTTAAGTTTTTTCTCGGTTTTCGGACATTTTCTCCTCCCGCTACCGGTTTAGGGTTTAGGTTTAGGGGTTAGGGTGTAGGGGTAACTAATAGTTAAACAGACCCGAGAAGCTCCCAGCGAACCTCCCTGCCCAAGCCCTTCAAGATCAGCTTAAGTCCTGAAGCATAGCCTGGCTCGCCGCCAACCATGCTCATGAAAACAAATCGAGCAGATAGTTGTCAAACCAGTGCGCTTTTCTTTGGACTCGTGAGCACGACTTGCTACAACACCACACCTATTTCTTGCACCAAAAACAGGACCCGAATCTTTGGTAGTTTCCGTGAATGGTGGACTCCAATCTGAAACCCAAATTGCCATGGTCCTTTGTATGTGGACCCCGAAACTGGTACCCCTAAATTTTGAAAACCCTACTCCCACTGAACCACTGTATAAGTCCAGTGCCAATTTTATTTATGTTCTTTTCATCTTGATTCTCCAGAATTGGGGATAACATCCTTAAACCCCATAGAACCCCCATAGAACCCCATAATTCCTATGTCACCCCTTTGTGCGCCTCCAGGTAGTAGACGCGCACCACGTCACCGGCCTGTAGCTTGTGCGGGAAGAAGTCTACCGGCTTCCTCGGATCCAACAGATATGGGGCTTAGAGTTTGCCTGTGACACTCATTACCTGCAGTTTAGTAGCACGGACCCCCATAAACCTGTAGGTGGTGCGGCTTACAGTGTGCTGGTAGGGGTTTGGGTTTTGGGGGGCGGGGCTGTTGAGCATTTGCGAGGTCGGGATTTCCGATTGGTGGTTAGGGTTCAGAGAATGTTTTTTTGCCAAGGGTGCTTCTGGAGCAGCTGGATCTTTAGTTGTACTCGACTCCCTTAAAAACGGTGATAGCTCATCTTAATCAGGAGGTCAATGGCCACGATCTTCATGATAAGGATCTAGCCAAAAAAGGGCTGAGGTTTCGCGACAGCATGGGGAATTACAAAATGTTGCAATCACACAGTATTGGTTACAATGTTCGAAAGAGCCTCGTGTTGAAGATCTGTAGGGTCCTGCGCCTCTTCGGAGGGCTAGCTCTTTTTCCTACTTTTTTCCGTACTTTTCTTTGAAAGAACAAGGATAACTTTTGGGCTTAGGCAGGGGCGCAACATTCTTGAACTTGTGGACGCCAAGAACAACCGCCAAGGAAAATGGAAAATGCACCACTACTTTCCGCAAGCCTGGTTAAGCTGCTGTCGGTCACGTACACCTACGTGTCCTCCAACTGGAGATTTAAGCCTAGCTGCTTGAACATGTCGAAGAACTTCATGTTCACCTTTCAGAACGCGGAGAACAACAGCTGGGGATGCTGGGCTAGGATTGTCGGAGGCTGTGCGGCGAAGGTGAAGTACTCAAACAATGGAGGCACGTGTCAGGCAGAAATCTGCAAGTGACCCATCATTAATTACAATGGAATTTCTATAAATCTGACCATAGCCCCTTCTGAAACGGAGCCTCGTTTTAAGGTATCCCAAGCCACTCATTCGCCCTAAGCGCAAGCAATATTTGCCCACCTTGTGCCGGTCGATGTGGCGGCGCTGATACCATGCGCGCGGCGGTTCCTGGACGGGGAGATCACCGTGTACATGCGGACTCACGATTTCAGGACAGCGTACATCATCTACATTGCGAAGCTACAGGTTCGACGAGACGCCGCCTTACTGATCCCTGCATGTCCTGAGTCAACTTCAGGAGAGTCTTGGGTTGGATTCGCACCACAAACACTATCCTGAGGTCCTGACTTCTCCTTCAATTATCTTTCCTAATCTCCATTACAAGCGAGTTGCCAAGAATGCGGCCCACAACGGCATGACCGAAGCTTTGAAAGCTCTACCACGATGGGCCCTCCGTTCTTTCCAAACTCCCGCGTCCAATAAACCTGAGCCCTAAAAATGATCCTGTAGATCGTTATTTAGCTTCGGTAACGTAGATTCTGCGTGGTGGTCTCCAAAAGCTGGGGCGCCCCATATCCGTCCAATTAGAATATATTCCCAATAAAAATGGGAATTTGAGCAATCCCGACAACAGAATCTGTCCCAACACTTCTGGTTGAAATATCCGATGTATGGGCACCGTCAAACACTAAACCCTATAGTCCCCCGTGCGTAGATAGAATATGGCGTTTGGTATATTATAATAGAATCCCCATATACCCCATGGGGGACTATATACCCTAATTGCTAGCTGTGATGGTGGTCTCCCCAAACCAGGGCATCCTATGAGTGGCGCCAGGGAGACAGGGATCCGAAGCGCGCTACGAGGGTCTCCCACACAGATTGTATGATAAGAGTCAACCAAATGATCCCCGTTTGGGTACTCTCTATGTGTAAGTGTATATGTAGATAGATATCTACCTAGAAGGGAAAGTGTCATGCTGGGAGCCCAAAGGGCCAACGTTAAAATCACAAAACCTAAAACCCCAAACCCTAAAGCATCAAATCTGACTCCTCGTCGAAGTTGTAGTTGGACTTCACCGGCCCCAAATCTTCCTCGTCATCATCATCGTCCAAAAAATCTTCCTCATCGTCCTGGCACATGGCTCAGAGTTTGTACGAAGCGGGTGGAGGCCCAAAGTCTCCAACCATGGGCCAAGTTGCAGAGAACTCTGTTCGAGATGGCGGTTTCTCTTTCGATTTCTTTTGATAGCACGAGGAAGGCCACGGGATAAATCGCCCTGAGCGTTTTCCAAAAACGCAATTGAGGTAGGATGTTGCTCCTTGAGGATCAGCTGCAGTAATCCAATGGGGTCACATGTGTTCACACGGGTGGGGGATGCCTAGTTATGAGGGGAATTAGAATCCCTATAACTCGCTATATGACCCGGAGTCCCCTGCGCTCTCTCACATGCATTTGCTTGGTGGTCGCGTGCATCCACATGCAACTTAACATCGGCCCTACATAGCATGAAAAGGACATGGTACCCCAACAACAAAGAGTGTATCGAGACCCCATCCCGATCCGAAACCTCAAACCCTAGGCCCTACAGGGGATGGGATGATTCCGCGTCCTCTTCGACTTCAACATCGACCTCCTCGGGCTCCGCTCGCCGCACGGCCCGGGGCGCCTCAGGCCGAACGCCAAACCTCCAAGGCTCAGATCTTCAAGGTGTGGGTTTAAGCTCTGCTTGGGGAGGATATAAGGGGGCTTTGCGGATGAGAGATGACAAATTCAGAGTCTCTGAGTTTGGGGTGGAGAGGATCTTGTCCAACCTCAAGCCCCAAGCTTCTGTAGCTATTGGGTTTCAGACAATTCTAGGCTCCTCTGAGCTGGGGAACGTTGAAATCAAAATCTTGCTGTCCAATACCGAAACCGGCAGCAAAGACGACAAGTAAAAGCTCCCTAAAGAATTGCCCAGCAACGTTCCGACGAAGGCTCGGCGAGGGCTCCAAGCCAGTGCCAGCGCCAGCAGCGCGAGACCAGCAAGGACCCGCCACGCCTTCGTGTCGCGGATGGCCATGGCAAGCAGGCCTGTCCTCCTATGGAGTTGACTACACTACACCCAGAAACCCTACATGAGATGCTTCTATTTTTCTGGCTGCTTCCTGTTCGAACTGTAAGTTGGGTCACCCAAGCCACTCTCCACGCAACTGCCCTTTTGGACAGCTTGAGGCAAGCGATCAGCACGTTGCAGCGATTTAACACGCAGCGCCGTTACCACCTTTCCCACCACGCAGATGTAGCAAGAAAACCAATAACAAAGTTTTCATACAGAAAAAACTGTGCGAAGGCTCATTCTGAAACTTCCTCTTACCCGTTCACAAGACTGAGGCCACTTGACTGCCCGAAGCTTCCTGACTCCAGTGTTGACAGTGCTGGTAGCCGGCTGAGGAAAGCATGAAGAATCGAAGAATGTTCTCAGCTGTTTGAGTCGGGTGATAAACCGCCAGAACATAGTCAGGAAGGTATATACAGATACATATATACACCTACGTGCATGCCTAATTTCAAGGACCCGGAGCAGCCTCCGATGGGACGAAGCTCCTCTGGCATGGTGTAGAGACTCCTGGCTGGCAACACAAGCAGCCAGGATTTAGGGTTCACGAGGATGTAGCGCTCAGGGAAATTTACTGTAGGGTTTAGGGCTTAAAGTTTTTTGGCAGGAAACTTCACGCTTGAGGTCATCTCCTTGCCTGCGCTTTTGATCTGGCGCATACTACAAAGGTACTGCTCGTTTTGGACAACAGAGAAGTCATCGGCGGTTCTTTGCGGGCTTCTGCTTTGCTGAAGGTTGGAAACCATAACATGGGCGCCGTGCACAAGCAGCCTGAAAATTCCAACATTCTGTTCCTGTATAGGCAGCAACCCCTCCGTCCACACCTCTTGACTGATGCCTGCCTTTGTGACCGCCCCCACACATCCAAACTACCCTTTTCAAGCGCCACCCTGATCCCTTTTTCCGGAGGCACTAGCTTCAGGCCTCAGCCTTTCCCACCTTGATCCCTAAACCCTATAAACCCTAGGAGGGTTTCTGCTCAACCCCAGCTGGGAGGCGTGCATGTAATTCTTTGTATCAGTCCTGACTGAAGTAGAGCTAGAAATAAACTGGGGCACGGTGCCGTAATGCCTGTGCCGCTCCACTACAGGATCTAATTGGTATTGTTGAACAGTTCGAATCCTAAAACAACAGACCCCAAGCCCTGTCTTGCCTAAACCGCACAGAGAAATCGAAATTTCACTTGTAAGTTGGGATCTTGTCAGCAGGGCGATCATGAGCTGAACCAAGGTTCCAACCTAACGTCGGGGTACAAGGAACTCCCGTTCTGACCGTACGGGCCTCCAATTGCTTGGCGCTCTAGGGTAAGTACAACCCAACTATCACCAGCACATGTAGCCCGCATGTAGCCATAACCGGGGGCCTAGGGGCCTTGTACTTGGGGCACAAGTGAAGTCATAATTGGGCTTTAAACCCTGAACCTCCAGGTACAGACCGGGCAGGCCTGTCCCAATCCGGAGCAGCGAGGCACTTCTCCTGAGTGGCTCGAAGCACTTGGATTGTACTATGGGTTGGGTCTAATGGTTTAGGGTGTAGGGTTTAGGGTTTAGGGTTTAGGGGTTAGGATTTAGGGTTTAGGGTTTAGGGTTTAGGGTAGTAACTGTTACCACAAGACGTAATAGGAGTTATAATAGCCCCT